GTCTCTACTAAAAATGAATAATTGACACTAAAAATATATATAGACAAAAATTGCCGGGCATGGTGGCGGCGTGCCTGTAGTCCCAGCTACTGGGAGGCTGAGGCAGGAGCGATCGCTTGCCCAGGAGATTGAGGTTGCTGTTGAGCTAGGCTGATGCACGGCACTCACTCTAGCCTGGGGAACAGTGAGCTCTGTCTCAAAAAAAAAAAAAAAAAAAATCGGATCTTCCTCTTCCCAGTACGTAGGCTTTCCTGAAGCCTCGTCCTTTCCCCTCCCTCGTTTCTTCAAACCAAATTTACGGAAACCGTGGCAGAATGACAAGCCCAACCGTCGATGGCCGCGGGGCGGTTATAGAGACTGCCTGCCGTTCGGTGCGGAGCACTAGGAAGCTCTAGGGGTGACACGGGCGCCCAGGAGGGCGGCGACCACAGCGCGGTGACACACAAAGGGCATTGTCGCGGCGGCGGCCGGTGGCCTTGGACATTATCCTGATCTCTCTCCCTCCCTCCCTCCTTCCCTCTTTTTCTTTCTTTCTTGTTTGTTCTTTCGTTCTCATTTGTTCTTACTTAAAAGATATGTTAGTATTATTTTAAAGTCTTATTTAGAGACGCTCTGTTTTTGCTGTCTTGCATTGAGACCTTCGTCTATTCGGTAGTAGAGATTCTGCATTAACCATTAAGCATGGGATGGACTAACGATTTTTATCTAACATGAAGGTTTTCATCTGTTTTGCAGGCAATGAAGCAAGGGCTTTTTCATGTATGTTTGAACCGTCAGTGGAGATTTCAGGATATCGCTCAAATGTAAGACTGTGTAGATTGTTTGAGACTTTTTAAAAAATAACCAGATTGATAGAGGATGAGTCTTGCTCACATTTTATTTTTCAACTAAAAGTTGCCTCATTTGGTATTTGAATCTTTAAACCTGAAGGCAGGAAAGTTACTTCTAGTTATAAACAAAATAGTCCAAGGTACTGTTGTATTTTAGAATGCTCTGCAAAAAGTGTCCTTTAGGATTTATAATAACAATTACTTGGCCAGGCGTGGAATTGGCAAGTGCTGAATCCTGGGCGCGTAATTTCTATTTTTACTTCTGAGGAACCACCAACGCTGTCTTTCCCTAGTGGCTTGCACCATCTCTTGCCTTCCCACCCAAGACGCGCCACAAAGCATTTTCCTAACTCTCTCTCCTTGCCGGTTATCCTGGCTTTCCTGGTCCGGTGATCTTCAAGAAGCCTTCGTAAATTCAGCGCGGCGATCCACAGATCAACATAACTACCGCATAAATTCATGCATCTGGCAATCTCAACATTGAGAGATACTGAAAATTCTATGCCACAAACATTAATACCCATAATGCCAATCCCGTGCATAATGCTGCCTTTAGTGATCCTCCCTGGAAATGTCCTTTAAAAAAGTTAAATTATGTTTGATTTCTCCACCTGTATAGGCGCCAGGAGCAGGCCAACTTACATATATTCGCAGAAAACATCCACTGATTCCATTCATTGTAACGTATTGCAGGATTTAATTTTTTATTTTTATTTTGCAGACAGCCCGAGTCTCCACTTTGTCGCCCAGGGCACGAGTGACGCACCTATCGGCATCAGCCTACACTGCTCCAGGGCTCCAGCAACCTCACACTCCGTGCTCCAAGCGATCCTCTATGCTCAGCCTCCCCCGCTCATAGCGCTGGACTAGCAGCCCATGCTGCCACCATCGCCCCAGCTAAATTTTTCCATATCACCAATAGATTCGTCTGGCCAATTACTTCTCGTCTCTATTGTAAGCAGTCAGACGGGGTCTCGCTCTTCCACTGCATTCTGCCGTCTTCAAACTCCTGACCCCGCATCCGCCTCCCTTCAGCCTCCCAAGCGCGAAGCTCTAATTTCTATTATTTCAAAAAACTCAAAGTGCTTCCACCCCAACACATGCGTGGAAATTTCTCAACCCAGCGCGGACACCTCATCTCTTAAGGCCAGTCCCTACCTATTCCCATTCACCTAGACCTCCCACTCCTCATATGGGATGGATCCCTGCCCGTTAACCCGCCCACATCTCCGTGGGTTCCAGTTTTCCCATATGCAGTAATCGAATCACACTGCATGCCTTTCCCAAACATATCAAAATCGTGATGCTGCTCAACGACGACTCTGACTAAACAAATACTTTCTCAGTTCATGGTGTTGTTACGATGGCCGAAATGCTTTTTGATCCAGAAAGAGGGGAATCTGTCTTAGCTAGGTCCACCTTGGAAGAGGATCTCTCCTCTTGCCCGTGCGGTAAATAGATACTAGGGTAACCCATACCAACCACATCGGACTCCTTGCTGCCGCCCCCCAGCGGTGGCTCACCGCCTGTAATCCTACACTCTGAGTCCGAGGCGGGCGGATCTTCAGTCGGAGTTCGAGAACCAGCCCTGAGCAGGAACCCGTCTCATAAAAAAATCGAATTAATTGACAACTAAATATATATTAACAAAATTAGCCGGGCATGGTGGGCGCGCAATGGCTGTAAGTCCCCTACTCGGCGAGGCCTGAGGCAGGAGGATCGCTTGAGCCCAGGAGATTGAGGTTCTGTGAGCACGGCGCTGGCCACGCACTCACTCTACGCCTGGGGAAATAGACCTCTGTTC